CAAAACCCCAAAACCCCAAAACCCCAAAACCCCAAAACCCCAAAACCCCGTTAAGAGCGATAAGTTATCTCTGTCAATAAATGAAAGTAAATAAATTAGAATCTATAGGTTATCTGTCTATAACAATATGCTAAGTATAATTAATAATCATAGCTATTTAATTAAACAATCAACACATTAAGATAAGAATCTATGAACGAACAACCAGAACATTAGTCATCACTTGCTTCATATAAATTTGGCAAATAAGACTCTTTGCTAATGCCAAAGTCAAATTCTTTCCGTTATCCAAAGTAGAAGAAAACAGAGGAAGAAGAAAAAGAGTAAGTATGGGGTACACCAAGCAATAAAAAGAAAGGAAGTTCATTTGAGATCACTGGCACAACTGCGGGGTCAAGAAGAAGTAGCTTTTCCAAGAAATCGAACAGTAGAGGGAAAAGTGGAATATGCTGCGATGACTCTTCAGACAACTTTGGTAATGCAGCAGCTTCTGTTAGCAAATATGACATGAAAGAAACGTTTGTTTCTCGGTTTAGGGATGACTTTGACAGACTTAAATTCTATGAGGATACTGCCATTAAAATTTATAATGAGATCAGTCTTAGCAAAATCACTCACCCAAAAGATTCTGAATAATTCTCAGCAGTCTTCAAAAACAATACCCCTCATTCTCAAACATTATTTCTTGATCTAGATGATACTCTTAGCTGTGTATCTTTGTACAAATTAGGAAACGAGAATTTCTAGGAGGTTATAATTAATGAGCAAGATGGAAAAACAATGAAGGTAATTATTAATAAACTTGACTAATTCACTTTTAGATGTATCTATATGTCAGACCAGGACTCTAAAACTTCCTAGATAGAGTTAGCGAGAAATTTGAGTTGGTACTATTCAATAATGGGTCTCAAACTTTCACCCAGAGTGTTTACTAATAAATATTATAATCATTCACTAACACCACGAATGGAGATTACTTTAGTTACATACTTAGTAAAGATTAGTGCAGTATCAACGATGGAGGCTAAGAAATTAAAAATCTTGAATTTTTCTGTGGAAGTGAATCAAATAGAGACATTAAGAGATCGATTATTGTAGATAACAACATCTATAGCTTTTAGAAGCATCTAACTAATGGTCTCTAAATCCCTAAATATGAGGGATAACAAGAAGATAATTGGCTAGAGCTGCTAGGTGATTATCTAATAGAAAGCTTTTGCAATTAAATTCTAAATCAATCTATTGACAGCCCTAGTCATAAATCAATAGATTTCAGAAAAGTTATAAGTTAAGATTTTTGCTTCGACAGAATTATTGAAAATACAAGGACCTCTTACATAAGACAGCAAATGACTAAGAAGATTTCAGTTTAAAAATTTGAGGAGGAAGAGGATGATCAGCTAAAAGAAGGTGGTCAAGAAGAGGCCAAGTGGACTGGTAAATCTCAGAGCAAGGACAGCGAAGGAAGCCCTATTAGCTTGAGTAGTAGATCTAAAAATATTAATGAATTAATAAATAAACCAATATCTAAAATGAGCGAGAAAACCTACAGAGACTGCTATCTTAGCTTTGTCAAGGACTGAGCATTCAAATCGTAACAGATATCTTGAATCTCAAAAGCCATGTAACCCTAATCATAAAATTTATTGACCTTATTATTGACTTCAAATATATATATTTAATCTAAGATGTTTTATTTTATTTATTGATTCTATTATTGCTTAAAGGGGTTTTGGGGTTTTGGGG